ATGTAATGTGAGGTAATTTTTGTTACTTCTCATCCTCAGATCTTGAAAACAAACTCAATCTTATATAGTTATATTTCTATTTTTTAATATTTATTTCTAATTTTTTTTGTTATTTTTGTTAGAAATAGTGGGCCACACAAATCCAATTGTCTGGCCTAGCCCAAGTTGGATAACTCCATTAACCAACCTGAAGAACATAGAGATCCAGGGCATCCACGTGGAACATTTGCCTCCTTTGGGGAAATTGCCTTCTCTAGAATCACTCTCGGTAGCTTATACGTGGAATGTAAAAAGGGTGGGAGTTGAATTTTTGATGATAGAAACGTCTTTGTCTACATCTTCATCATCCGTTGTTGCCTTCCCCAATTTGAAGACACTGAAGTTTCATCGAATGGAAGAGTGGGAAGAGTGGGATTATGAAAGCAGAGGAGAAGAGGATATCACAATCATGCCACGTCTTTCTTCCTTGACAATTGGCTATTGTAAGAAGTTAAAGATGTTGCCGGATTATATTCTCCAGAGTACTACCTTGCAGGAATTGACAATTATCAACTGTCCAATTATTTCAAAATGCTGCAAAGAAGACTACCAGTCCTTTATCAACCGTATTCCTCACTTCAAAGTGCAAGATCGGGACTAGGGAGTCGGACTCGGACTTTGAGTAACTTGCAAAAAAGGAAGGTACTGTCTAATTTTGCTTTGCTCAGTGTCCTTACCCTATTTGATTTTATTTGTTGGCAAGCAATGGGGCGAAAACCCATTAATTACCCATACACATTCAAATAATAATATCAAACCAAACAAATTACTAGTAAATGTAGAAGTTCATCTTTTTGCATTCTTTTCCTTTCTTTAAAAAAATTGCCGTTTTATAATACAAGATGCATTATGGCTGAATTTTACTCTTTTCTTAAAAAAAAAATCAATTTTTAAGGTATTTATATTTTAATTGATATAGCATTCTATTTAGTGATTTATGTAATTTGAGGTAATTGTTATTGCTCCTTTTTCTTTCCCACACCATGGAAGCAATTTCATTTTCCGTTTTTCTTTTTCTAATTATTCTTTCTGATTCCCATTTTCTTTCCTTCTTTTCATTTTTAGGAGAGCCGAAGTGCATAGTTTCAGAAGTTGTGTACATGGTGGAAGGATGATGGACCGGCCTGGCTCATGGCGCCCACACTAGCTTCTATGTGTCAACTTTTTGGCAAAGCAGTTAGCTTCTGGATTTTTATTTTCTTAATTGAAGGGTTATTTTTGGGCCGTTTGTGTGCTTTGAAAAAAAAAAACACTTTCAAGTTTTCTTAGGATTTTCTTATAACCCATTTTCCTATTAAAAAGAAAAAAAAGCCAACTAGGCTTTCACATGGGAATGGCTTGGCCTGTGTTACCCACGCCACATGCCAACCCGGGCACTGGGCATCAACAAGTGGGCTTTCATTTTCTTTGTGTGTTTTTGCTATTTTCATGGGTCATTTAGGATCG